TTTTTTGTCTCCAACATGACAGGAGATATTGTTTAAGGCAGCCTGATTCTGTATCTGCATCACTAGACCCTGTCATCACTACTTCCCACGTGTTTCAGTATCAGCTATTATTATAGAGGACAGCCCCTGGGGGTATGCATTAGTTTTCTCTGTTTATTATTGAGCTGATTTTTAGAGTGGACAGGTTATACACAGAATCCTGTAACACAATATTGTATAATGCTGGCAGAATATATGATTGCATCAGGTTGTGGAAACCGTTGACGGTTCAAGTACTGAGTCATGTAGTCATGAGATGACTTGCTGGTATCAATCTGGGTTGAAGATAGGGATGATAAACAGTTTAATGGGTTGAGACATATGCTCACAGTATTGCGAGTGCAGTCATCATCCCCATCATCATATGTGAAGGTCCATTTGTATTTTATTCCCAGTAAAAATACTGTTTAAATTTGGCCTCAATTGCATCAATGATCTTTCAATTGGTAAACACCTAAAGAACTGTGGATGCTGTAAATCAGGAACAAAAACAAAGTTGCTGGAAAAGCTCAGCAGGTCTGGCAGCATCTGTGAAGGAAAAAACAGAGTTAACATTTCGGGTCTGGTGACTCTTCCTCAGAGGGGTGACCCTTCCCCAGTTCTGAGGAAGGGTCACCGGACCCGAAACGATAACTCTGTTTTTTCCTTCACAGATGCTGCCAGACCTGCTAAGCTTTTCCAGCAACTTTGTTTTTGTATCTTTCAGTTGGTGCTTAGATTATGCACCACATTTCCAGGCAAGACGGTGGCTCAGTGGTTAGCACTGCTGCCTCACAGCACCAGGGATCCAGTTCAATTCTAGCCTCAGGCGACTGTCTGTGTGGAATTTGCACATTCTCCCCGTGTCTGTGTGGGTTTCCTCTGGGTGCTCCAGTTTCCTCCCACAGTCCAAAGATGTGCAGGTTATGTTTGGTGAGGCATGGATTGGCCATGCTAAATTGCCCGTGGTGTCCAAGAATGTGCAGGCTGGATGGGTTGGCCATGAGAAATGCAGGGTTATAGGAATAGGGCGGGATGCTCTTTGGAGGGTCGGTTTGGACTCGATGTATGAATGGCCTGTTTCCAAACTCTAGGGATATAAGCCTCCTGGGTTCAGATCAAATAACATGGGAATGGATAGATCATGATAGTTCAGTCTGGTTAAAGCAAATTGGGAGTTACTGGTACTTGGAAAGAGTTAGAGACATCAAGGGCCCTGATGTATTTAGCTGGGAATCTATTCTACAACTGCACAACTCCAGGGGAAGAAACACTTTTCTTCTTGTTGGAAGTCTATACTACAACAGTGTTTCAGAGAGAGTAGGAACTGCAGATGCTGGAGAATCGGAGATAACAAGCTGTAGAGCTGGATGAACACAGCAGGCCAAGCAGCATCAGAGGAGCAGGAAAGCTGACGTTTCGGGCATAGACCCTTCTTCAGAAATTTCTCCAGCATCTGCAGTTCCTACTATC